TTCTAAGACCTGGACTGATACAATGGGCTTTTATTCCACCAAACAGTTGTCAACTGTAGTGTTGGAAGTGAACCTCAAAAGGAGCTGCAAACTGTTTCCATAAGCCTTGACAAGCTGCTGGTCTGTAATTGACACTATTTGTCTTTTCAGGGATGAGGTCTATAAATTGATCCAAGGACTTACTCTGGAGAAGGGCTTGAGAGGAGCCAACGCAACATATGCTCTCTACACTCAGGTGTGGGGTGACAACCCTGACCAAGAGGTTGTGAAGAGGACGGTGGTAGATGTGGCTACTGACTACATCTTCTTGATTCCCACGCAGTGGAGCCTGAAGCTGCACCAGCACAATGCCCGGTGAGTGAGTCTGCCTCGGAGAGCCCAAAGCCAGCACAGGGGCTGGCAAGCATGTTCCCAGCACCAGGTGCTGAGGGGCAGGTTAAGAGTGCTGAACTTGAAGGAGGCAGCTTTTTAGGTACTGAGTGCACACTTAAGTGTAGCTTTTACAAACAGAATTTCCTTAGTGCTGCAGAGGAGTCATGCTGCAAGCTTGTTTTAAAGCCCCATTAGGACAAATTATTGCTTCTTAGAAACCCAGAACTTTATCCTGGCAATAACGTGGTGACTCCACAAGGCATGGCAACTGGACGATATGAGCGTTAGAGTGAGAATCAGAAACTAAAGTTAAAATTACCATATAGAAGGCTGTTGTTTCCTGGGAGCACTTAGACAATTTCAGGCACACGAGCATCTTCCAAGGCTCTGCCAATGTTGTGAATCAGCATCCCTTTCTCTGCACTCCACTTGCAGCTGCTTAGCAAGTCTGTTTTTGTTTACCTAGGAGTGCCAAGACGTACAGCTACGTGTTCTCTCAGCCATCCCGAATGCCCATCTACCCAAGCTGGACAGGGGCAGACCATGCTGATGACCTGCAGTATGTGTTTGGGAAACCCTTCTCCACCCCACTGGGCTACCTACCTAAGCACAGGACTGTCTCCAAAGCCATGATTGCTTATTGGACCAATTTTGCCAGAACAGGGTGAGTGGCTCCGGTTCCATATTCGGGGCTTGTTGCAGCAGCACTTCAATCTGTTGCTTTTGCCTAGTAACTTCTCAGGACCAGTTCCCAAAAGCGGGCTGCCCTCTGTCCATGCATCTGTTGCAAACTGTGCCCTGGGTCTTCTAGGAGTTGAATTTGCTCTGGGTCCTCTTGATCCAGAGAACAACTGGGGACAGCAAAAGCATTTTAAAAACTGCTGATCTTTGCTTAAACTTAATGATGAAGTTTGTTTCTGAGCCCTGGAGTTCAGAAAGGAGTTCAGCTGCTGCATGCTGCCAGGGCCGATGCTAGTGGGGAACAAGGGAGGGGAATGCAGGTAGGCAAATCATTCCCAGCAGGAAGAATTGCTGTCGCGTGTTCCAGTGTCAAATTCTGTTTGCACTTGCTTAAAACTTCATTTGAGCACAGCCTGAATCCTTACCAAACAACACAAGTTTTGCTGTGTCGACAAGCTACCATGATATTTAACCTCTAGCTATTCCTTCTTTTTTCCAGTGATCCTAACAAAGGGTATTCAGAGGTACCCATTAATTGGCTGCCCTATACCCTCGAGAATAGTTACTACCTGGAAATCAACAACAATATGGACTACAATTCAGTGAAGCAGAATCTGAGATCCCCATACGTGAACTTCTGGTATTCCGTCTATCAAAATCTGCCCCAGGCTGTTAACGTTTCCCTGGAATAGATCCAAGCTGAGGAACTGCTGGGCTTCCAGGGAAAAAAAAAACCTTTTTAAAGAAAGATCTAAGTCATTAAAGGCTAGCTTGTAACTGAGTCATTCTGGCTTCTCTATGTCTTTGTCTGAGTATTCACCCTGTGCTTTCTTGGAGGTTTACTGTGTTTTCGAGCCTCCCCCCCCCCCCCCCCCCGCCACTATGCATGCATTCCTGGCCCAAACACCTTCTTAAGAGTTTTCCAAGTGCTTTCCAGGAATTCCTGGCTTTCTAACTGTTTCAGGAATTTTATTGGTGCTTTGGAGGTCTTTCCTCTGAGCTTTCAAGGAATTACTGGATCTTAAACCTTTCTAGCTGTCTTCTGGGTGCTTTCTAGGCATTGCTGCAATTCTTTTGTTAGGAAAACTCCTAGTGCTTTCTAGTGGTTCCTGTATATTGCACCTTTTAGGTATTTTCCAGTGTTTTCAAATAATTTGTGGATCTAAACCTCTCCCAGTAATTTTCTAGCACCTCTCCACGTATTTCCAAGAGCCAGATCCAGAACCCTTCAAAAAATGTCTAGTACTTTCTAGGAAATTAAACTCTAGAACCTCTTTAGAGCTTTTTAGGGATCATGTTGAACTTCCTGGGGATTCCTAAATCTACTACTGTCCTAGAGCCTCCTGGCAACAGGAGAAAGCAGGTGTCACTTGTGCCAGCTCACTCATTTCCCTGTTGTCTTTTAAATTGCTCTGCCCTGGAAGACTGGAGGGATGTAGATGTTTAAATTCTGTCTGAGCAGGTAACTAATTTTATCAGCCTCCCTCTTCACAGTAGGATCCTCTCTCTTTCAAAAGCTCAGGTTTAAAAAATAACAACCTACATAGCCAAAGGCACAGAGCAGATCTGGGCACTGGAGTTGCATCTTTAGAACCTATACCCAGAATCACAAAACCATCCAAGCAACAGACCACTGTCTGTTTGCAATTATAAAATAAGAAGTAAACGTGCTGACCACCTCTAGGAAATGAGTGTTGGAGGTACAACGCTTCGAACCACAGCAGAGCTCCATCTCCAGATCATAGGAGCAACCACTACATTTGCTCTTAAAACCACTGCTTGTATCAGGAGGAGTAAAATCAGCAAATTAGACACCATATTGCCTGCTACCAGAAAACGCACAAGCTCCAGCAACTTGCAGATTCAACTGAGCAGGGTTAGCTGAAATCAGGCACCAATCCCTCAAACAAAACAGCCCATTTCTTAATTTAAGGACAAAGCAGAGCCCCAAGGCTAGGCTGCCCTCAAGCCACCGCCGCGGGGACCTGAGCAGCAGAGCTGGGTCCGTCCCCCGGCCTCCCGCAACCGGGAAAGGACAACAACACCCACCCTGCCATGGCAGTGTGTGTGGGGGGAAATGCATGAGTATTGGCGTTTTATTGCAAAGACTAGTTACATTGCAGCGTACGAGTCACACGCGGGGCAGTGCGCTCCTTTGGCGGAGCGTTACAAAATCCCCCACGGCACGGGCCGGGGGGGG